TTCTGCAAATTGAAGAAGGTGTACAAATGTATGTTGTTGCAATTCATTTAAAAAAAAAGAAAAAAAATCAGGAAATACGCTCCTGCCTGTTTCCAGTGACAACTGTCTGTAACGCCTTCTCTCACTTGCCTTTGCAGTGCCATTTCTGCCAGCTGTGTCCTGGCCCTGCTCCCCTGCTACCTGCTGTCTTATCCACAGCTCTGTTTTCCTGTCATCCCCCACTCCTAACCTCTGCCATCTCCGCCATCTCTATCTCTGCCATGCCCACCTACTCAAATTGCTGAGATGTCAGGTTGGAGTTGACATAGTTATGCTTGTGTGTGAGAAACCTCCTGCATTTACTATCTGGGTCCCTCTTAAGGAATTGGGAGACGTTGTAGACATCACTGGAGCCATCCCTGAAATAATGTCCTCACAAAAAGACACTGATTTCAAATGTTAACTCTGTTTCTCTCTCCACACCAGCAGCTGCCAGGCCTGCTGAGCGTTCCCAGCCTTTTGTCTTTATATTTCGGATTTCCAGCAACTGAACTATCTGGTTAAGATGGTGGCAGAGCAAGACACTCCAGCTGGAACTCCTCTGGATCTCCAGCTCCTTTTCCTCGGACCTTTTCTCCCACTCGCTGCAGTTTTTCTTCACTAACCCACTCCCAACTTTTAACTTCTTAAAGTACCCTACCCGGAGGGAATGGAGAACGGAGTCCGAGACCAACTCGGGAGACAGGTCGCAACCGGAGCGGGGAACGGGGTGAGTCCCGGAGCGGGGAGCGGGGCGAGTCCCGGAGCGGGGCATGTCCCGGAGCGGGGAGCAGGGCGAGCGCGGGCCGAATCCCAGAGCGGGGCGAGTCCCAGAGCAGGGAGCGGGCCGAGTCCCGGAGCAGGGAGAGGGGCGAGCGCGGGCTGAGTCCCAGAGCAGGGAGTGTCCCGGAGCGGGGAGCGGGGCGAGTCCTGGAGCGGGGAGCGGGCCGAGTCCTGGAGCGGGGAGCGGGGCGAGCGCGGGCCGAGTCCCAGAGCAGGGCGAGTGCCGGAGCGGGGAGCAG